CCTTAACTTTACTTTACTACGTTACGTTAATTTTAACTTTAACTAAAGAACCGTTTCCTTAAACGTTAACTAACGAAAAGAACTAATTACTACTATACTACACACACACACACACACACACACACACACACACACACACACATATTTGACATACTTTTTTATAACTTTTTTTAATGTTATAAAACTGGAATCCACTGATAACAAAACCATTGTAGTTTTTGAAGATGAAACTTTGTTGAATGGACAGCAACTGCTTGTTGTAGAAACACAAGTGTAGAGGACGACTTTTAGAAAGTCTTCCGCCATTCCTCTTTTAAGGGCAATATTACTTTACGAACGAAATGCACCATAAAAATCAAAATTTTTTAAGTAGTATATGTACCTCTGCTCCAAACCAAAGTTGACCAGCTAGGTTTTCCTGGAGTACTTCATCTGGAAATTTTGATCTAAAGTCTCGATTAGCTCGGAGGTGTGGAATAGCTTCATCCATTATGTCCTGACAGATATTCAAAACCTAGTACGGAACCAAAAGTGCCAAGCAAACTTAATGAATTGTATTTCTTAATAATACTGGATAAGTGTTTACTTTATGAAATAATTAACACTAAAAATATAGATACATATTCATACAGTCAGATGTTTCATTAACAAAAAAAAAGTCAACTTCTTATGCAAAACATTGTTAACCACAATCTTAGTGTTGTTAAAACTACTAGTAAACTTCAATATATCTATAAAATGAATAACTGCACAAAACAATCAAATGGTAACTACAATTTATATTTTAACTATGAGAAGACAAATCACTTTATAAAATTATGTCAATACATTTTCTCAAAAGATTTTTTTTTATTCAAATTAGCCATGATAGGTCATGTTAACTGAAATGCCAATGACCAGTCATTCAAGTTGTGCTTGTAAATGAGCATTTGGTAAGGGTGGTTTTGCATCTTTACAGTTAATTATATTTTGCTTCAAACAAGAGTACAGCCACGGCCACAAAAAGCAAGAGCAGTCTTGTGCTGCTAATACATGCTTTAAAAACAAGTGTTGATCTTGGAGCATCCTTAATCACTCCCTTGAATAACAACCATTTAGGTATCTTTAATGTCAAATTCACTGGAAATTAATTTCCCTAGAGTATTCCACACATGCTTAATGAGATTGAAGTTCAGTGAACATGAATTCAGTCAATCCCTCTTCTTTCTTAAGAAATGGGTCAATCAGTTCAATTCAGTGGGGCCAGAAATGATTAGTCATTATGCTGAAGTCAAGGAGTATTATGGTAGTATAAAGGTCACAGGATGTAGCTCCTATAATATGTGGCACTAATGGTAGCTGCCAACATCAAACTACCACATGTATTACATGTTCCTTATGAAATTGGGTTGGATCTGGTACCAGTTTCTCACCAAATGAGTATACGCCCATTATCTGGTTACAAGATGAAACATGACTAATTTGAAAAAAAAAAAAAGAAAGAAGAGAGAGAGGATATTGTTCTATAAGCTCTTGGTTCACTGAAAGTGTTCTAGACACCATTGCAGGCATGTTTTTTGTGTCTCCCTGAAAAGAAATACTCTTTATTAAGCATCCAACACACACATCAATTTTGTGAAATCTTTATGACCATTTCTAAATGACACAGCATACAGTTTCAGCTGCAAACATCTAATCCAGTCTTGAAGCATGTAGCCTAAAATAGCAGTGAGCCAGAATTAAGTGTAGTTGTTTGCTTGTGTTAAGGATGGAGGTTTGCTTTCTCTAGCTGTCAGAGCAACTGCACCATTAGTTTGGAAGCAATTCAACATTCTAATATATTATGAGATGATTGTAGATACTTCACAACAATCTGCTGTAATTAGCCAGCTTTTTTTCCCCCCATTGATTGATCATACATGAAATATCCACTTCTTTAAGGTCCAGCTACAGTTCTTGAACAATGTGAAACTTTTCAAAAACAGTGCACCTCACTTCTAAGTGATAACTGAGACACTACTGTGTGAGACTACTATAATATTAGCTGTTTCCTGTAGAACTAACATAAACACCATGTGATTGTTGAATGTAATGCTTTATAAAGTACTCAAGTTCATGCAATATTAGATATCTTATGTTACTGAACTTTGGTTAAGGAAATCCAAGAAGTTTATAAGTTTTAGTTACTTAGTTTAAAACATATAAAAATTAATAAAATATATATATACATAAAAACAAGTATTTGTAGTACTTATTGCATATTCAAGCTCTTTTGCATTTAAGTAAACATTTAGACATTTCTCCCTAAGCCTCCTACAAATTTGTTGACTTGATATAAAAAAAAAAATCATGTAGTTTACAAATGTATATTTTAGAACTAAAAAAACATCCTAGAACATCCCAAAATTACTACAGTTTATCCAACTTTCTAAGAAAACTATAAAATAGATTAAAATAATCCTTTAGCATTCCAGAATTCTTCTTACAAATAATTTATGGTTAAAAAGACTAAACAATGACTTGAAAGATTCAAGTATAGGAGAATCTGCTCTTTTTATCGATTATAAACACATCTATTAACTATGTAAAGTTTATTAGAAAACAATTTCAAACATCAGGGAAAAGAAGGATGGAGGCTTCTCTGGTTTGACAAATTTACTGATGTCTCAGCAAATCAAGAAGGTAGAAAATTCAAATTTTAGATTGTTTTTAGTTATGTATAATTGGTGTTTCTAATTGGTTGGAAATTTCAGCAGCTTATTTTTGATGTTACAAAATTCTAAAATGGAGAAGCTGGAGTTCAGACTGTCACAAAAAAATGTTGGTTGTGAATTTTTTAAATATTTCTTTTTAAATTTAAGACTGGCTTAATATGCATATGTTAAGACAGCTACTCCTCACAGAAGTATTACAACCAGTCAGACTAGCTTTTGAAACAGCCTCTGACCAGTATTTACTGGTTAATGGAAATGCTGCATACAACACAAGTTTAATGACAAATAGTTTGTATTACACATCATATGAATGAACATTAGTTGCCTGTTTGATTGACAGTGAACCGAGAGGGATGATTGACATTTTATAGCAGTGGTTCTTACTTTGTCATATTTATTGTTTGATTAACAGTGAACCGAGAGGGATGATTGACATTTTATAGCAGTGGTTTTTACTTTGTCGTATTTATTGTTTGATTAACAGTGAACCGAGAGGGATGATTGACATTTTATAGCAGTGGTTCTTACTTTGTCGTATTTATGACATTAAAAATTCAGATTATACTTAATTTCATAAATTGATTTTAAATGATGATCAAAAAACTTTTTTAGTAATAACACTTCTACACTGCACATCTCATTTCCAAAGGATAAAAAAAAACAACAGTTGATACATTTAAAGACACTTAACTCAAAAAGCAATATCTTCAAGTGTTTGATAAGCATGGAAGTTTACTACTTCCTAGACTTAATTTAGGACAAATATTTTGGATAATTCATGAAAATCTAATTCACAAAAAAATTAGGATTACTCCTAAAGTTTATTCCACACTATAAGACTTTCAGAAATAATCTTACTTTATGTTGTTTCCTAATATGATATTCTTCACTGGAATGTGAAATTTCTTTAGAATTTACTCTTAATCAATCTGCACAAGATTTATGTTTTATATGATTAATTTTAGGTAAATAAGATAAAACCTAGACACCTATTCTTATAAGTACTGAACACACATACTGCAAGGAAAATAATACAAGGATCATCATTAACCTAATATGTTAAACTAAAATAGCTGTGTTCCTGACAAGTCTTCTGAGCAAAGCACACATTTTGCTCAAAAGACATAGCAGCTATGGGTCTAACACAATAAACAATTAAGTACTGATTTTAAGCTTTGGAGGACTAATGAGTTCAATATTGGAGACAATCTAAAACATGTTCATCATGCCAGAATACTTGAGTTTCTGAAATAGTTTACTTCCATTCCATTTTGAATTCAACTCAACAATAGGATACTTTCCTAACAAAACTAAATATTGATGAGCATGACACCACATAATCCAACATGCCTTAACACTGTTTCCCTAACAAACACACTACACACCTTATCTTGGCAAGCCCGCAGTTGGTTTACCAGAGCTGAACATCTCTCTGGTTCCTTACGCCCATCAAAACTGTCCAATTCTGTAGCTACCTGATTCAATTCTTCATCTGCCCAGAAGAACCTAGCCAAGATGGAATTGTCTTCTTTCTAAAATGTAACAGATTTAGAGATTTCCTGTTATTACATTTGTAAATAACCATGATGGGAAAAAAAAATTCACAAAATTAAAACTTAAAAGGAAATTTTCAATTTACAGTTGTTTTATTTTCAGTAAATTTCAGTGTAGGTTACTATGGAATAAGATAAAGCTGATGTCAGTATTTGTAACTAAAATATATTAATAAATAAGTATATATTAATGTTGATAAATCAACATAAATACATAAAAATATGTTGGTAAATGCTCAAAAAAAATTGTCACACTTGGTACACATATCCCAAGGATAGAAGTAACAAATCCAGTTAAACTTTAATCAAAATCAGATAATAAGACAATAACTTAAAAAGTTGTTACAGAAAAAAAAATTAATATTTTAACAAAAGAACCTTCAGTGATGAAAATTATATGTCTAAGATATTGACTTAATTTTTATTCTTCTTCAAACTATTTCTGAATTTACCTAATACAGAACTCTTTATTAAGGATGTAGCAAGAGAAAGGCATCAAATGTTACATGCAATAATCTACTCGGTTGAACTATGTTTCGGAACTTTCACAAAACAATGGAAAAAAATACAATACAGTACAAAACAGAGCATAGGTAAGATTTCAGAAATACCAAAATAATAAATTAAGTTAAAATAAATACACATGTACTAGTTAATAGGACTATAGTGGATATTTACGATATAAATTAAGCACCCAAATATAAAACCTGAATGGACATTTCAATTATAAATGATGTTGCTATAAAAGTTACATATGCAAAAGCTGAAGACATACTTTAAGTGAAACACTGTGATACCACTCTCCTCATCAAGTGGTTAAATGGTAATTCCTTGTTTTAAGTAGCATGGTGAATACATTTAAAAACATAGGAATTAAACTGCCCCAAACAAATTAATATCAAATAAAAAAACTAACCAAATAAAACAAAATATTTAGCACTCAAGACTACTACTAGAAGATTTGTTATTATAGAGCATTTTATACAGTTAAAAGTGAGTTCTGATAAATCAAAACATGAATGTAATAACAGGAAGCATTTATTAAATGTTTCGGAATTGTCATAATTCCATCATCAGTAATCTAGAGTAATAATATTTGTATTTACAACAGAAATATATAAATAAGAAATAAACAATTTGAATATACAAATATAACACGAGAAAATGAAAACTGAGGCACAAGTGAAATAGTTAAAATAGGTTTAAATCCAGTGAAGACTGTGTGTTATTTAGGGACGGAAGAAGATTTTTTATGTATAATGTTTCTTTTATAAGAAGTTTGGTATCATGTTTGGCTGTTGAAAGAATTTTAAACTTTGAGAGAGAGAGAGAGAAATTGGATGTCCTGTTTCTGTATTGTGTTCACAGATAGTGGAGTTGAAAGGGTTTGCAACCTTTCTTCCAGTTTTTATGGATATGCCCATGTGTTCGTACTTGTACGTACATTAAATTGACATTTGGCTTCACCAATATAGGAGGCCTTAGTCTTCTCACGTGTATAAGTAGACAAGGTGAATCAGAAAAAAAATTTTTTTAGTCTGAAATTGGGTTTAATAATAACATCCAGGGAAATTTGGGAATAGTATGCGTTATAATTTTTTTTGTTACTGTTCCTTAATAAGGGAGCTCCATCTCCCAAAATATGGTAAGCAGGTGTATAAAGGAAGTTTGGGTACAGTGGGTATCTTAGGTGGTTTGACAAACAAATTAGTTAGAAATGAGGAATCTAGTTTCTCCAAGAAATGCATAGCGTAGCCATTTTGAAAGAGAATATTTTGAATGGAAGTAATTTCTTTGTGAAGGGCTAAATAGAATCAGGTAAGTTTGTAGGCTCTATTTAGTAGACAGAGAATAAGATTGTGTTTGAAAGAGAAGGGTATAAAACTGTCAAACTGAGTGAAAAAGCCAGTAAATATGTTTTTACAATAGACAGAAGTTGAAAAGCTGTTAGCATCATGGTTAACAAGAACGTCCAGAAAGGGAATAGAGCTATTTGTCTCAATTTCATGAATGAAGTGTATAGATGGGTGTTGTGAATTGAGATAGTCAAGAAAGCATTGGATATGATCAATATGGCAGAAAATAAGAATGTATCATCAACATACCTTTTGAAGAGAACAGGTTTGAAGCTTAATGGTGACTGAGAAAATGTTGGCCAGTGTAGGACCCAGTGGGAAGCCCATAGCAATGCCATCTATTTGCTCATATAGAGTATTGTTAAAGAGGAGAAGGCAGTCTTTGAAATCAGACTTAGAAAATCTATTAACAAGAATGTTTTTAGCAAAGAGATTAGAAAGTGCAATATTAATGGTTTCATCCAAAAGAATATTAGTAAAAAGAGAAGTAATATCAAAGTTAGCCATCACATGATCTTTAATGGGGGGGGGGGGGTGACTAATTTCTTGGGAAAATTGGAAGAAGTCAGGTCAGGTGTTGTAAATTCATTCATAGTAAAAGGTTTAAAGCTGGGTACAAGGAATTTAGCTACATTATAACTGTGAATGCCTAAGGCAAAAAATATAGTTCTGAGAGGGGTGTCCTCTAGATTACTGATGATCGAATTATGATGATTCCGAAAAATTTAATAAATGCTTCTTGTTATTACATTCATGTTTTGTTTTATCATTAAGTTCTAATATTGATTATTCAAACTTGAAATAAAGTTGTATAATCAAGAACTATTTTCCCCAGCTTATTTTATTATTATGAGCACTACTATTTCTATCCAAGAGAAGTCAAGAGGTTGACTTATTCCATATGCTGCTGGAATGATACATGTACTTTAGAAATTTTCATATAACAAAAACATTTGTAAGAATACATCTGAAAAATTTGGTAAAAAAACAAGTATGTTATATTTTAATTGAGGTAAATTTCATGAGTATATAAGGAAATGAAACTAGCCTAAATAAACATAAAAGAATGAAAAAAATACCAAAAATTTCTTAATTTCTTTATATTGTAGCTTTTACTATGAAAGACAAACCCACAACCATATAGGACAAACAATTCAGTACTCCTATCATGCATACTGCTTGGACAACTGAAGCCACAATATCAAAATAGTTATTAATTTTTAAAGCTAAATATTTAACTAGGCCATCTTTATTACACAAGTGTCAGTACTGACTTCACTACAGTTTTGGCTATTATACACTATATCAGTGGTTCATAAACTTTCCCTAGTGCTGGAACACCTTTATAAAATAAAGGTGTTCATTTTTGAAAAATGTGCTTAACCTTAAATTGCCAACTTGTTTTTATACTGTACACTACTTGAAAGGTCCATGTGTTGATAATCATGTTTTAGCCTCTTATAACACTTATTATAATGGACTGACAAAAACAAAACAGATAAAATCACTCATTTTCTAAGTAAAATCCAAGGGAAACCCCTACATACAATAATTAATGGGATTAACTGAAATATTGATGGTATTTTTTCTGTTACATGTTATTATAGGCCCTGTAACCAACAAATTCATTGATCCATAATCAATATAGCACATTAAAAGTTTAGACAATGTGTTTAAAAAGCTAGAAGTTATACTTCTTGAGGCTACTTCACATATTAATACTTTAATGCAATAATTTACTTAGAATTTTTGTCTACAAAGCTTGAACTCAGGAAAAATTCATGTATCTAACTGTTAACTACAAAATTGCATTAACCATATGATGTCATATTACATAAGTATATCAATATATGGTTACACTATTTTTGCATAGCTATTCAATGGTTACAGCTATTTGGTATTCTTCTGGAGAATATTTATTGAGAACTGACTAAGAATGTGAGAATATACTTGTATTTCTTTGTAAACTTACTATTTAGCTTCTTAATACCTCATTTCTTGAATATACAAAAAAACTCTACAAACCAGTTATTTTAGGCCAAACACATCTAAGTACATGTTGACCAGATATTCCAGAATTCTTGAGAGCAAAGTTATAACACTTTAAATATAAAATGTTCTTTCTTTATTGGAATTATGATAAAAATTATTTCATTTTGCAAATTATATATTTGAAATATCTTGATTTAAGGTGCATATGACGTGGTCTTCCTTTTGTGCCAATGTGCTAAGATTATGAATCCACTCAAGATATTAGAAGATCCCATTCTGAGGTAAATGTACATGTTATAAAATAAAGGTTTTGATGTTTATTAACAGGACAGTAGTTATACCTGTTATTCTACCACCAGTCAAATGACAATAGCAGATAAAAAAACAAAATGCAACAAACTTAGTATAGATAAGTGTACTTGTTCTACATCATTAGCAGAAACTACAAATAAATATATAGTTTGTTGGACTTATGATCTCTGGTAATGTAGAAGTATGCATGTATTGAATGAGCATTCAGTCACTAATACACATATTAATTTATATTTACAATGATACATAAAGACAATAATGTTTAGTTCTATTTTCAACTTTGAACTGAAGTTAACCTGTTCAAAATTTTGTTACACTCCAGATATTTGTTCAACCTGTGCTACCTGTGCACAGTCATTCCTAATTTTAAGCTGACAGACAAGATGGAAGGCAGCTGGTTAACAGTCCCAATCAGCAACTCTTGGACTATTCTTTGTCCAACTGAATAGTGGGATTTTACTGTTACTCTTATAGTGTACCAATAGCCCAAAAGTATGGAATATATTTTTGTGGTAACAGATCAAATTCACAGTCTGAACATGCTAAGCCAAGCCTTATTAATTAAAAACATTCTTGTTTATTGCAACAAAACATTTCAACTGCCAAATATTGAAAATTTATTGGTCTCCTGAACTTCTGTCAAGTTCGATCATTATGTACAGACATGTTAAATTATTAAGTTATACTTGGATATAAAAACAGTAATACAGTAAATTTCAGAAACACAGTGATGTAAAAAATAAATTCCTGTTACCAAACTTACTACAATCAAGGCTGATGTTAGTTTGTCTTGTTAGTCTAGGAGCATTATTCCTTTTT